GCTGCCAGCTGCCCTGGTGCTCCGCCGCTTTGCTTCCTCTCCCTGGTCTGCTGGAGACCAGGGAGAGGGCCCTGTTCGTAACTGCGGATCCAACGTAAGTCGGATCCGCGTAACTCGGGGACTGCCTGTAAAGTGCTGTTCTGAAACATGCAGTTATTTGGATGGAGGTCAGTTAGACCCAGTTCCTATAAGGGCATACAGGAGCATTTCAAACTAGTTTGTCTTCAGTCAAATAGAGTTGTAAAACAGTTTGACTAACATTTAACTGGTTAATTAGGATTTTACATCCCTAGTTATTAATGCAATTTACAGCAGGAAAGCTTTTGGCTCACAGTGGAATTTCCACTACATAATATATCTGACAATGAGGAATCTAATATTTTCATCCTGGATCAGTAAAACAGAACTGTAATCTTAATCAGACTTGCCAGGGAGAGAGTATTCTCCCCTTTAAAAAGAGGTCTATTATTAATAAACAGATCTAACTGGGCATCTTAGATGTGCTCAGGTTTATTTATGGATGAAGATTCACAGTAAATACAATGCTTTTTTAAAATCAAATATCTCACATATCTCATTCTGAAAAAAACAGCAAGATTTGGAGAAATTCTAAAAACAAGATGTAGCACAAATGCAAAAACTAATCAATTTTTCTTGAAGAGATCTTTCTTTGGCTAGGGTGCACCAGAAGTCAGGGAAGGTTTTTTAAACATTCTGTTGTCCAGTTGTTCACAAAAAGGACAACAGTGGGAAACCTCACCATTAAATCAGCAAGAGAAGAAAAGGTATTGATTTTTGAACCACTAAGATAATTGATCCTCATTGGATTTATGATATTTATACTTCAGAGACTCTATATCTGTGGTTTCCAACATGCTAGCCACTAGTCACATTTGGCTATTTGGCCGGTTGAGTGTGGCTAGTTCACTGTGGCTTCAGAACTGATTAGACACAAAACATTTATATCAGGGGTGACCAACCTGAGGCTTTTGAGCCGAAGAAAAAAATTGCTGCTCCTGATGAAACCAGGACGGAACCTGGAACTGCTCAGGTCAGCTGTGCTCACAGCCAGGCCACTGTGAGCCACATGCATGCTCACAGCCCGTGCTGTTCCACTCATGGCCCCCAACGCACTATGTCATATCCTGCACAAGCGGGCTGAGTTCGCTACTGAGCACAGGCAGTGGCTCTGGGAACCAGGCATAAATTGCTGCTCCTGATGAAACCAGGACGGAACCTGGAACTGCTCAGGTCAGCTGTGCTCACAGCCAGGCCACTGTGAGCCACATGCATGCTCACAGCCCGTGCTGTTCCACTCATGGCCCCCAACGCACTATGTCATATCCTGCACAAGCGGGCTGAGTTCGCTACTGAGCACAGGCAGTGGCTCTGGGAACCAGGCATAG